ATTATCATTATCATTATCATTATCATTATCATTATCATTATCATTATCATTATCATTATCATTATCATTATTATTATTATTATTATGTTTTATTATCTTTTTTCGATATTTTCTATATCTTGGTGCCTTTTGCACAGACACGCCAATGGATTTTCGTTCCCGGCACGCTTCATCCCCCTTACTAGTCCAAAAGCTAGCGATGAGTCACTCTCTATAATTTCGACCGCGGAGTATAAGCTGTCCAGCAATACGAAATTGATGTTGGTACTGTTGATATCTGGAATTTGACCGTGTTGGAGTTGTTTTTTGCGTACCACTATTTCCTTTTCTTGAGGTGTTTTCCATGCTTTGCCCGTTTGTTTTAAGTCATGCACTATTTTAAACTTTAAAAAAATTTAAAGCAATTTTTTTTGGATGATTTTACTACTAGTTAATAATTTTCTTTCACTGAACTTGTGTCTAAAATAGTGGGTGAGATATAACACACAAAATATATAATTCATTGCTACTCAGTGTCCTACCATAAAGCATTGCTACTGGCGGAGAGTGACCTACTAATCAGTAGGTATTACGAAATCATGACTAAACTTTTTAATTAACGGTACTGTGCGAAACGACTACTCTGCGAGCTATAGAGAATAGTGCGTAAGCTCAAAACTTTACACAAATGATTTTTTTGTATGTTACATAAAGAGCAGTATACTGACTAGTGTGTAGGTATCAACACTTTCGGGAAAATGAAGAAGTAACTAGAATAAAAAGAATCTGGGGTTGAAAGTCACCATCTGTCGCCGAAAGTTACGTAGAAGAATCTGGATCGAGAAAAATATAATATTATCCATCAAAATCCCATCAAAAATTTTTAGTTAGCGAGACCTTTTCATATATGCCCTCCTCCAGTCAATCCACCTTAACTATAACTTCAGCCTCCCGATGAGAAATCAGTTAGTTTCTGTGTATTAATTGGCTAAATAAAAGCTAAATATTTGTATCTTTTTACAAAAAAATTACTAAATACGTATTAAATACACTTCTGATATGTTAAAACACGGTAATTTTGTTCGAAACCCGCACAAAAATTCGGAGAGTGCTTTTCCCGTTGCAGAATTAATATTTGCGTTTATACATCGTTGTACTTCAAGTGTTTTATCCTCCCATGAATCATAACTTTCCCCAACGGCTTGTATCATGGCATTTAGGATAGTGGCGTTATACCTTTCAACCTGTTCATTACTTCTTGGACTAGCTATTATTTTCGACAAACCTATTGAAAAGAATTATATCAAATATGGGTGTGATACTATTTTGAAGAGTAATTTTTAGTGAACTGTTTCCTCAAACAAAACTAGTCTAGTCTTTACCTACCGATATGCTGTTCTTCCCCTAGGTGATGAAGGTGGTGTCCCTCTCCATGGTGGTATCCATGGTGCCCGTGGTGACCACCACTCTTCGCTTCGTGATGTTTCTTTATAATATCGTTCTCCTCGACATCATTCTGGTTATGCTGGATTCCCATCCCCACGTGGTTGCCTTTATGGTGACTCTGCGCTCCTTCTATTCCAAAGTCCGCAGGTAAGTTTTCCAGATCCTTCTCAATTTTTATGTTGTTTTCGTGGTTCTGTTCCAAACCAACCCCGTACTTTTCCAGGTACTTTTGCAAGCCGTCGTCCTTGACGTCTTCCGTCTGATTCTGGTATATTTCGTACAGTTTCTTTATCTTGTTCTTCAGCTGTATGTTCGTTTCGGTATTGTGTATTGCGTTCTCGGTGTCGTTCTGGTTAGGCGCATGTAAGAGCTCAGGGAAATCATCAGGGTTGGAATCACTGATGTTCCTTTCATCTTTGAAAAGGTTGTGAGGTAATTCCAACGTATTTTCGTCCGTAATCTCGCAGTCCTCTTTCCTGATCTTATCGCAGCTCTGACAAGAACAATTCATTATTATTTGTACTCTCTTTTGGATAACTTTGGGACCTTCCACGTTCTTGTCGTCCGCGCGTAAGTTTACGTGGTAGCATTTGATTTCTGCGGGCTGACAACTGTCACAGTAAGGTCCTATGAGTTCTCCTGGTTCAGCAGGTTCGGTTTTTGGGATGGAATAGCTGTAACAAGCCCCCACGCAAACGTTGTTGTCGATGGTGACCGGTTCGTAACCTGGCGAGGCGACGATCTGCTGGATTTGGTGCGTCTGACACCAGGAATGCTTCTCTGGATAGAGGACGATGTTGTGAACCTGCAATAATTAAATAGTGCACTGTGGCATTCACCAAACAAAATTTGAGAAGAGTTGGTTTATAACTCTAAGAGATATTAACAAAAAATGAAAAAAAAAAAAATCAACTTCAACACCAAAGGGTTCAGATTTCGAAATAAGTTTATATAGCAAAGTCCCTTTAATTTTATCGGATCTACCTTTTCCTGAATTTTTCAGAATAAAAATTGGACACCTTGTATTTTATATTTCCGCAAATATAATTTTAAAAAGTTATACAGGGTGTTTTCACTTTAAATTTGGAAAATGCAGGAATGTATTCCCTATCAAAAATTAAGTGTAGTTTGCTCTATAAAAATTTTTTATGAAAGCCTTTGTTTTGGAGATACAGGGCGTTGAAGCTTAAAAAAAATAAACACTTTTTGACATATCTCGGCTATCCACGAGTAGATTTGATTTAAACTTGGTACACATTATGCGTATTGGGGGTTTTCATAATTGAGAAAATATTAGTCCTATCGCATCAGCCAGTGGCGTGCAAAGGGGGATGCGTGGCCCCTTTTTTAAAAAAAAGTACGCCATTGAGTTTTTCGAAGAATGTAAAGTTAATTTACATACTACCATACAAAAGCAATCTAAAAGGTCTCTTGGTATTTTTCGATAATACGCAGCGTTCATGAGATTCTTGGACTATTAAGATTTCAATGCATGAAAAAAATTACGACATTGAGTTTATCGAAGAATGTAAAGTAAATTTAAATACTACCATACAAAAGCAATCTAAAAGGTCTCTTGGTATTTTTCGATAATACGCAGCGTTCATGAGATTCTTGGACTATTAAGATTCCGATGCATATAAAATAGAGTATTGAGAAGAACTTTGCTCTATTTTAATTCCTATAATATTTCAATTTTCTACTTCTGTGTAACCCATTTTAATTAAATAATAATACAAACTGTCAAACAATAACAATGTTGTCATGACATTACCTGTCACTGTCACGGCCTACCATATAACATTGTCCATGAGTAATTAGGCCTAATTAGTGAAATTTAGTTACAATACCTATATGCATTTTGGATCATATCAATGTCCGATCTGTCAAAATATATTATAACTAAATCTGTAAATTCTTACGTAACTGGAAAAAGGCAGAAATGATTGAAAGAGGTCTAACAATAATTACAAAATGTATTATTTTCTTAATAAAAAAACTTCTTTTCGTTTTTTAAAAGTATCTTGTTCATTGTTAGAGATGGATCCAACAAACCCTATATGGCTATGCTCTACAGGGAACGTTCTATCCAAATATGGAAAAATATACAGGGTGTTCCATTTAACTTAACAAAGTTAACATCCGCGGCCATTTTGTTTGGACTTTATCTGTTTTTCTACTATCATTTTCGAAAAATTCATAAAAAATCGTGCAACTTTTATATTTAACATTTTTTTATAACTCTTAAAACAAAAAAGTTAAAGGGGGATCAAAATATAGTGAATTACCCTGTACGTAATAAGTGTTCAATAACTATTTTTTTGACCTGTCTGCTATACTTATAATATAGAGAGTGTCCCATAATTAATTGGACATTAGTTAAGGAGAGACAGCAGACATAAAAATCAAGCGATTGGGTCCAACATGCAAAATGTTTTTAAAACATTTTGAAAGCTGTTTAACGGATTTCGATGAAAATTGGTATTCAGCATGCGTAATACCAAGATTTCACCATTGCCGCTAGATGACGCCATCTACAGCAAATTGGTCCATTAACAGATTATAACTTTTTTGTCCCCCCTTGTATGTACATTCCGAACAAAAATAAAGAAACGGAATTCAATTTTACACAAAAAATGTATACTTCTTTGAAGTCAAAAAAATAGATCGCATTCGAATTAAACATAATTTTTCAATGTGATGCAAAAGTCTGTATTTATTCTTTGCAAAGTATTAAAAGTGAGCTAAAATGTATCTATTCTCCGCGGTCGAAATTATGGAGAGTGACTCAGACATAATATAAAAACACTATTACCATAAGGCGTATAAAATATAAAATGATTTTTATACGGTTCAATATTATTTATCTTTGTGCCGCTCGCTACACACATCGATAGAATCTATAATCGTCTATAGACTGAGTTACACTGAACGTCGATCTATATTCTATCTCTGTCTTTTGCACTTGGTAGGGAATAGGGAAATGCTTTTTTAGTGGGTGTGAACGGACTTGATTTATACGTCCTGAGAAACGTCATAGCATAAGCGTAGACGAGGAGTCTAATTCCATGGCTATAATAAATTTATAAATTAAAAAACACAACTGGGACGTTTTAAAATGCTGTAATAATTAAAATGGCTCAAAGTGCCGATGCCGGTTATAGCAAACCGTAAAAAAATATTAGATGTTGTTTTATTATCTTTTTTAAATATTTTCTATATCTTGTTGCCTTTTACGCAGACACGCCAATGGATTTTCGTTCCCGGCACGCTTCATCCCCCTTACTAGTCCAAAAGCTAGCGATTAGCCACTCTCTATAATTTCGACCGCGGAGTATAGGGACTTTTTTAGGTACTGTAAGTTTCTTCATAGATATCACTTAATTATTGTTATTTGCGTTAAATTGTGACGTCATAATAATTTTTCAAATGCACAAATGTGCATTTTCGTTCTCGCAGAGTAGCGCAGAGTATTTCGAGCTATATCTGGATAGAAGGCAACCAAACCGTAAAATGTTCAAGTCATTGTCAAGTCAATATAACATATATTTAAGACGTAACTCTTGATACATGCATGATGATATCCCAGTACATTAGGTACACCTTAGAAGATAAGAATTATCTAGATGAAGTTTACCCTCATATGTAGGTGGATTGGTAGAGGTAGTGTACACATATGGCCAGCACATAGTCCCGATCTAGTGGTATTTTTGCCTCCTGATCATGAATCCGGTATCAGAATTCAGCTATCACATCACAGGAATTTCCTAACCTCAAAAAACAGCTTAAAAATGGCAAAAATTCACGAAAAAGTGCTAGGAAAAGTACATTTTTTTTTATATTCAAATGTTCATTTAAGACCCCACCGAACGTGAATCCGCGGTCAGAATTGATGGTTCTTTTTCTAACCTACAAAACTGGTCAATTAAGGTCAGATATCACGAATTAAAAAATAACAGATTCGCACCAAATTTGGTATACGGGGGTTTTCGAGGTCGCTGATTACTGAGCAGAGGTCAATTTTGTAAAATTCAAAAAGGCGGATCAAAGATAGCGACCAAATTTTCAAAAAATAACAGATTCGCGCTAAATTCGGGGTCACTGATCACGAATCTGAGTTTAATTTTGCGCATTCGGCGAGGTCTTATCCTTTCGGATATTAATTTTGTTAAGCATTTATTTCTATTAAATTACTTTTTTACATTTCCTTTTAATTAATTGCTTTGTAAAAGTCTTAATAAAAATATTTCTTTCGACCATTTACATTTTATTTTGCAAAGAGTATCTATAACATATACACTTAACATCCACTAAGATTGAAAACCTTGAGAATACATAATGTTTGCGTTTGCATAACCGTCTGAAATACAGTTTTTTTATTTAAACATCTAATTGAAAAATTACGTTTAATTTTCGCAAACGGTCTACTTTTTTGACTTCAAAAAAGTATACTTTTTTTGTGTGAAATTAAATGACATTTCTTTATTTTTGTTCGCGAATGTACATAGAGAGTGGACAAAAAAAGTTATAGCCATGTTAATGGACCAATGTTGCTGTAGGTGGCGCCATCTAATGGCAGTGGTGAAATTGTAGCAAATTTCATCGAAATTTATTGAAAAATTTTCAAGATATTTCAAAAAATAATTGGAAAGGAAGTTAACGAAATGCTTTGTAGGACGAAAACGAGTCACATTTTGTTAAGGCATATCGGGCCCGAACCCTTTATTTTGATGGCAGCTATCACCTCTTAACTAATGTCTAATTGAACATAAAATTTAATAATATCGTTATCGTTAAGCAGTCTCAGAAAACAAAGAAACACTTTTTTTGCAAAACTTATTCATTTTGTTTTATACTCATTATTCTTGAATGTGTTTGTTTTATCCGAGATAATATTTGTTTCAATGTATTAGAATTCGAATATATCAGGATGGCCTTATACGTTTTTCAATGGGAAGCAAAAATATGTTCATAAAATCAACCAATTAATTGATCTAAGTGTGAAAAAATGCTAGTTGTACAAATGGAGTTATAAATAGGTAATATACCTTTGTTGCTATTAATTGCTTTTATCAACAACATCTTATCTAATAGGAAACAGTTACTTCATCCGAGAATTAAATTTTCCAAATAAAAATGACGACAAAACTTTTTTAAATGTTATCATCAAAGATTTGATTAAATTGATGGATATTTCTACTTTGAAATCAGTTAATGTAAATGTCTAAACATAATTAAGATGCACAAGATTTTTGGAATTGGAATAAATTTTGGCGTTATTTAAAAAATAATTCTCTGAAATTATCAAAATATCTACAATAACGTGAAAATTCTTATGGTAAATTTATTTTAATTCACCTTTTTACACAGCGGATAGAACAAGTGCAATTTCCACGTTTTCAAGTTCTAAGCAACTTACTACTTACCTTATGCTCCCTTTCAGCAAATACAATTTCTAAGAATCCGATGAAGAAGAACTGAAGTATTTTTGTGACAGACCTGCAATAAAAGAGGAATCTAAGTGGAACTGATCATACGTTCAATTTTTGAATTTAAATTTATATAATCGAAAGAAGAAATATTTTTTAATGTAGAACTGTGTAACCGGACTCGCTTAACCTGATGGTAGAGAAAATGACCCCGAAATGCCCAAAAAAATGGAGTCATTTCCGAATATGCTTTAGGGTTGTAACATGATTGTAACATTGTGGGGGAAACTGGTCCGCATAGGGGATTCCATAACCCGATCTCTATATTTTCAAACCCGCTGAACACGAATCTGAAATCAGTTTGGTACCGGCGTCCACCATTTTAGAGAAAATGTCCACTCAATTAATAAAAAGGGGCGTTTCACAGATATACCAGTGAGATACGGGATTTAGGATAAATATGTTCAGCAGTTTTTTTTTTAATTAACACTCGCTTTGCCTGCAAAAGATCTATGTAGTGGGTTTCACTTTCTCTTTTTACTTCAAATCTTACGCGGTACATATTTTCCGTTTCCTTTAACTTATTTCACGTGATCGATGCACATCTTCTTTTGGTAAACCTAAGTTGCGAATGACATAACATAAAACACACTCAGAAAAGTTTGCGGAAGGTCCCTTTCAACCGAACGTCTACATTCGTCTTCTTCTATACTATTCATTTCACTGTCATCGTCTCCCTCTTCGTATTCCTTCTCATCTTCCTCTTCATGTTTCTCTTAATCTTCCCTTTCATCTTCTCTCGGAAGTTTTCTTCATTTTCAACTAGATTTTCAATATTTCCTCGTGGCAAGACGTCATCTACTTCCATGGACTCTTGCGGAAAAATTTGTGTAAATCACATACCTCCCTGGTATATTCATTAAGCACCATTTATTAATTGAGGGAGCATTTTCTCGAAAAAGTTGCGTTATAGACCAGATTCTCTTACGATGCAACGTTAAAATCCCTAAGAATTCTCGCAGATAATACATTTTTTGAGGACTTTCTGAAAGTTGATTTTCTTCCGAATAGCTACCTAATAACTGTTTTAACCAAATTATAGTTTGTCGTATTTTAGGTTCCGATTTTCACTCAACTTCCGAATCTGACCTACGAAGTTATTTACAGAGCGTGGAAAATACAAGGAAAACCACTGTGGAGCGAAAAGTGAAACTTTTGCATATTTTAAAGAGCCGCAAACTGCTCGAAACAATGGGAAATATAAATACACATTTAATATTTTCTGAACAATTTGTTTCTTGAAAATGTGGATCAAGATTCACATCATTACCATCATAATAGTAACAGCAACACATCATTTATATAAGTGCAAGGAAAAATATAAATATTTTGCAATATGTGCAACCCCTTTTGAGATCTCAGGGTCGGTAACCCCTAATTTATTTTTTTTACAAATAATATGTTTTGAAATTTTTTCATTCCAACACATTTTTGTGGACCTAGATCTCTAAAAATGATATGGGTCTTACGCTGTGCTATCAAAACATGACCATTTTATTATTCATCAGCCATCAGAAGCTACCACTATGTCATCTCAGTTAATAATACATGGCGTGAACCAAAATTACAATTTGAAAAGACGGGAATACAGATAAACTTGGGGACCAATGGTGCCTCAGTTTGTTGATAAATGTCACTATTATTAGAATTGGGATTACAATGATATAAAAGTTGATGACTATAACTAATAATGAAAAAGTTAAAGTCGAAAGAATATCCGTAATCACAATTCGTTAGGAAGAGATTATTATTAGTTATAAGTAGGGAATTCGATCCCGGCCCTTATTTCTAATCCCGAGATTTCTGGATTATACTTAGTCAATTCCAGGATCCCGACATTATTTCGGTATTGAGGGTTAGAAATAAAAAAAAAATAAAATATTACAGAAATCAACTCTTTAATTGACAAATCAAAATTTAAACAAAAATAAACGTAATCAAAATTTAGATAAGAATTTATGACCTAGCTAATCTAATCAGACTTAGAGTCAGACTAACCAGACTTAAAATTACTCAATCTTTATATTAAAGTTATTCTTTTTCAAGAATCAGTGATATCTCTTTAGACGTACATAAATTGAAAAAACCTTTATGTAACAAACTAAGCAAATAAACTTTGAAAATTAACAAAGATCTGTCTTAACATCGACTAAATAGACGACTTTCATGTAATAACCTAGTAAGTAGGTAATAAAGGTAAGTTTCTTAGCAAAAAATATTAAAAAATAATGTTCAAAATTCAAAAATACAAAAATTATGTGTAGCACCAAGTAACCTAGTGAGAATTGCTTGCCTACCAAGAACTTTTATTCCACACCGCAAATACAGGCACTGAACGTTTCGCATCATGCAGTCTATTTTGCAACTTTTTTAAAATGATGTCAAAATTTAACCCCGAAAATTTCGGGACTGAAAAGCGGTCGGGATCCGGGATCCCAACAATCGGGATCCCGGGATCAAATCCTCTAGTTATAAGGCAATAGGCAATTAAGTCTAACATATTTCGTTTTAGAGTAAGTACACTTATGTGGCCATTATCTTCCTATTAGAAATAGGGTGACCACTTTATCGCCAAAATCTGGTAGCTACGTTTTGCAGAAGACTGTACTGAGGAATTCCTATTAAATAAACTGAATTTAATTATTTCCAGATTGTTTATCATGATTCGATGCATTCTTTTTTCTGTTAGGACCATTTCAGATTATCAATCAATTTCTGTCTTTGTTTGTTTCTTACCTATTTAAGGTGTTACGGAAATCATAATGCAACTGAAAACAGAATAGTTATGCCTGACATGGAAGGATAAAATTGTGGCAACGTAAGGCTTTAAGGTTTAATACTGAAAAAGAGAATTAGAAGGAGCTACTATTTTGTATTATGTACAATTGGTGGATTGTGTAATAGAACAATGAATACCCTCAATATTCCGAAATAACTGACTTCTTTTTGCCAACTGGCCCCCACTTTCGGAGTTACAGCCCCCTGAAATCTGCCCCTAGAAGTCTTTTTTATATCTCAAAACCATGTTGTACGAGAATCACTAAATTTGGTGCACAGGAGTATCATGACATGTTGAATCTCACAGTGCTACGCTTTTTGGCGAGAAACCCCCTTAAAAAATTTGGTCGCAAATTTGATTTTTTTTTAAATTATTAGTTAGCTAGAAATCCATTGAATTTAGAATCTTTTTTGTCTCTTGATATTTGTTTCGTAAAACGCAATGTTTGTGAGGAAAAGAAAAAATCCCGATATGCATTTGATCACATTTTGAAAAGTAAAAAGAGACAAAAAGTTTCTAAATTTAATGGCTTCCTTATGGCCTGATAATTTTTAAGAAATTTAAAATTGTCTTAAGGGGGTTCCCCGCCAAAAAACGTAGCACCATCAGATTCCACATGTCATAAAACCCCTTTGTACCAAATTTAGTGATTTTTGTACAGCAGGGTTCTGAGATATAAAAAAAATATTATTCTTAAGGGCGGACTTCAGGGGACTGTAACTCCGAAACAGGGGGACAGTTGGCAAAAATAAAAAATACGGGTCCCCTAAATTTGTCTTAAGAATCTGTGACCAAATTTTGTTGCATGAATTTCGGGATACCCTGTATAAAATATGTGATATCATCCATTTTTTTAACAGAACACATTTTTAAACTTTGATTTCGCTTGAGATCAAGCTCATTTAAAAATTGGCTACTCGACTTTTTACTATTATTACTTGGCTTGACATGCTATTAGTTTTTAAAAACTAAAAACCACTTGAAAACACCTGCGACCAACTTCTTTTTAAAAAATTTGCTTTTACTTGTTATTAGCTTTTAGAAATTAGGAACTATGTATTTGACTTTACTTAAAATTTCTTTTTAATATCCGACATTCAATGGCATATAATTAAGTCAATATAACTGTTGTATTATATACTCTCCTTGAGTCAATTCGTTCTTTTTTAGTAACTTGTTTAGTCTTAGTTCTATTTTTCTGTCTTCAGTATGTAGTGATAGATTATCAAGCTCAGTTTCCTTGCCACTTATTCTTGTGTTGGTATTATCTTTGCCATTTGTTATCATTATTATTACTCTTTTTCGTGTTAATTTCCATTCATAATTGTTCTATTTGTTCTGCCTATAGATCTATGAATCTTTGCATTTTCTCTCATGTGGTATCACCATCACATTTTCAACGTAAGTACATCAGCACTTCTATCTTTACCAATGGTAATCTGTGGTACCACATTATTATATGCAGTTGCTTTGTTTGACACCTTTTTTTCACTTGAATTCTTCCGATCTTTCTCTTGGTATTCAAGCCTTTCCTTTCAGTAGTTTCAATATCACAACCGTATTGGAAAAATTAATATTGGAGGTGGTCGCGAACTTGCCCAATAGGAATATTTTACCGCTATATTATTTTAACTAATGTTAAACAATGTTAAATTCTGAGATTAGGTTCTTTGAATAGTTTCTGGTTGCCTAATGTTTACTGCCTAGGAAGGAATATTTATAAAGCATTTCTATGATGAAGTTATGCCTGGCATGGAATTGAGAACGCAGCAATTAATTAGTAGTTAGTGCAACGATGTTAATCACTGGTGTCGCAGGCTAGTATCACCTATTAAAAATCGCCCTAGGGCGATATGGAATATTTGTAAACGGAGTTGGGCAAGTTTGTCTGACAGATTGTCGACGTGATTGCTAAGTAGGTAATGTTGGGAAATAAAACGTCGTCAAAAAATGGAATTGGTACTAAAATTTGGGCTATTTCAGAATTCGTCAAAAGTGTTTTAGGAGAAAATTAGGTGAAATTTAATTTTCTTAAATAGAACTGGCTAATATGAAACTACAAACACTTCCTGAAATTAAACTGAATCGACATTAACTAAAGTTAAAGTGACTTAGGTAGGTATCCAATCCATCAAGGAATATTTTAAATAAGGAACCTTGACTGTATTAAAAAGATGTTTTGTTGTATACGAAGTATATTCAGAAAATAATCGAACTTTCTGAAATACGCC